TTTTCCAAGGAAAATAAAGCCCGAATGCTATTGGGGCCTAATTTCACACGTGAAGTTTTTATGGTTGGTTGAGCATCTAGATGTCATGCATTGTGCATGGTTGTGAACCGTGGTTTGGCTTCATATGTGTGATTGCATATATAGCTCCAAATATTCAGAAATCTGCCAATGCTCAAGACATAGGCCTACGTCAACTGAACGCCGTATATTTTACGTCTTCAAAATCTTTTCCATTTTTATTTTAGGGGTAATCCCCAGCCGGCCCATACCATAGGAAAGAAAATAACTATTTCGTGTATTTATCACATCTTTTTTGGTTAAATAATTCCTGCTTTGCAGAGTGAAAGTGCTGCATTAACGATTTGGGGCAGATTACTGCTTTTTCGTCATCTGTTTGTCGTCTCAAGAAAATACCCGAGGACGCCACTACAATAAGTACAATTCCTCCTAGTTCTTACCGGTCGCACAGATCCTTGGGAGACGCCTTGAGGTCCAGCCTGGCAGGCTCAGCTGTTGATGACAAGGAACGTCATGCCATCGTTGGTGGGCGTGGCTTGGAAGTCTTCCAAGGTCTGCACCTTCCAGTTACAAGCCACGTCCGGCAGCGCCAATGCTTGATCAGCAACGCTCTCTTTGTACCTGTTCACCACCTCAGGTAACGGACTTTACGACAGCTACATGGACAATGTTCGGTTGTCGGCGGCAGTCGAGGATTTTAATCGTGTTTCGGATGTCTCCTGTATTCACAAACAACGTGATGCAATCATGGTAATTTCAATACTTGTAACACCAGAAAAAAAGTTCGAGTTCCACACACCTAGAGATGCCCTTAGGCCTAAAGACTTTGATACGCATCGATTATCTACTTCATTTCAAACCCGGTCTCAACGTTGGTCTATAGCTTCCCGCACTCATAAAACATAGTTTTTCACATTCATAATTTTTTTTCATAATTCAGGTATTTAGATTCTGATTATGAGCACCTGTAGTACATTTGCTGAAATACTTCGTCCGTTTCAACTTGACCCACATCTCCACTTTCCTCGGCCATTACGTAAAACGGCCTCAGCGACTTATTCCTGATTTCGATGTACCGGGCCACGAAATGGACATTTATGTATAAGTAAGGAGATTGTTTACTTGTAAACAAATGTTTGAAGATGCATTTTCACTATCCTATTCCAGCAGTTTAAACCTCCTCCTGACGGTTAGACTTAGTATTATAAAGTTGTTACTATTGGGGATTTCTGCATTCAGAAACCATCAATAAGCAGTCAAAATAAATACTTTCAACTTGCACGAGTTTCACTCCCGAGCAGTGTGATTTGACAGGTGAAAATGAGCCATGTACCAGCACTGCCTGTTCATTTTCAGATGTTACTGCAGTATGTCTTCAGAGTATGAATGCTAATTCTTGAATCTTGTGCCTTTACCCTTTCCTAACCCCTTCCCTTCACTCAAAAAAGAAACCCAATATATGTCAGACCAACTTGTACGATTTAGGCGTAATTTTTTTACGATTTGTTTATTCCGTTTACAACTGTACGATCCCGACTAAGACTTTTACGATTTCCAACTCGAACGTACAAAACCATACAGTTGTGTATAAACCTACGTAAGCTAGCACGGAGCCGGCCTCGTTATGCGCGCGTCAGAAATGTGTCGCTGGCATCCTGCAGTTTTGAGCATACGAGCTGCATAAGAAGCGGTAGAAACCAGCGTGGTTGAATCATCCGTTCGCCCCGATCAACGGTATAATGAACAGGGGCGAATAGGCACGAATGCACTTCGTATGAAATGTGATTGTGTACGTCCCAGCATTGTACTGTACTGTACTGTACATGTACCGATATCGTACACGTCGTGTGTCACATTAGTTAGGCCAAGAAAATATAGCTCTGCTTCCGATTACATAGGGTCGGTAGGTAAAGATCTTTGGACATTGTTTGTGCTGATTGAATGGGACGAATGTTGCCAAAATTGTCCCAAAAGTGGTTAAAATAAAAATGTACCACAATTAATGCGGAAATATAATCAACAATTAATTATAAGTAATTACACTTGCTATATGACGCGAAAAGAAGTTTTTGACAGGTGTTTGTTTTGAGAGAAAAGACGACAGGATTTTTTACCCTTTTTTGTTTCTAATTTTCCAATTAAAATTCTTAGGGTCGCGCCGATAAATTAGGGTTGATCGGGAAACTGGAAGTGGAACTGCGATAGGATTACATGTACACTTTTTCATTTTGAAAAGTTGGCATCTCTCCAGGGAGGATGTTCTTCTAAGTCACCCAGAGTTTTAAAACGTGATTTATTTAACTGGAACAGCATCATATGTTTTCCATTTCAGCTTTACTACAGTTGGAACTTGAGTTTTATAATTGTAGATTTTGAAAAATGCCGATTTGTCATCTTAATGTTATCACTTATGGATTCGTTGTTTATATTTACAGTGGGAAAATTGAAATAAGTTTCCCTTTCCCGAAGTAATTTGCAGTGGAAAAAGTTTTTTCCGGACTTCAGGACTTTCCACAAACGTTAAATTGAATACCTTAACTCTTAGACTGCACCTTTAAATTTGTACCAAAAGCAAAAGAAAAGTACATGATAAACTCCAACTGAACCTATTGTCTTTAAAAAAGCTGTGGTGAAGAATTTTAATTTAAATCCTGTGAGTTTTTTCCAGCTGCAGAACCATGGTTCATCCATCATATGTTGTTATATGTGATACTGTATTTTTGTGCCTTAGCTTGAAGTGGATATAAATGTGTTGAAACTAAACTAAACTTAACAAAACATACTTGAACACTATAGGCCCTCTTGAAAGTATTCAAAACTGAAAATGGTTGGAGCTAATAGAAAAGCATATTAACGAACAAGATCTTGCATAAAATCCTGCAATTTGCCAATTTTCATGGAGACATTTTAATTTTAAAGTGTTACTTATTTTTAGTTAAGAGTTGCACTCATATCAAGAACTTAACGATGCAGTTTACGACAGGATGACATCTCTGAGTTTTTCCCCACAGTTTTCTAGAATGAGAAGCAATCTTCTCCGATCCGCAATTTCATCGAAAACGCAGAATTTCCATAAATGCAGCACCCAGTCAGATGTTGGCACAACGTAAATTGTATTACCACTTATCTATT